GCAAGATGCATTTATATAACCAGCTTGAGAACTCTGACTCTCTCAAGACTGAATTCTTCTTAGACCTAAGTCCAGTCTTAAAGAGTTAAAGAATCAGGAGCATAAAAAGAATCAGGAGCAAGATTATCCTAGATGTATACTAATTATTGCAAATAAGGAAAACCATGGGTTTGGCTTACTTCACTTAATATGATTTTTTCCAAGTCTTTCCATTTCCTAACAAATGGAGCAGTGTCATTCTTTTTGATGGAAGCATAGAATTCCACTACATAATATATATATATATATATATATATATGTATGTATGTATGTATGTATGTATCACATTTTCTTGATCCATTCATCTACTGAGAGGCATTTGGGTTGGTTCCAAAGCTAAGATATGGTGAATAATGCATGATAAACATAGTTATGCTGGTAGCTTTAGTATGGCCTTGTTTGTGATCATTGGGGCAAATGCCCAAAAGTAGGAACCTCCATAGTGCTTTCCAGAGTGGTTGAACAAGTTTATACTCCCACCAAAGGTGCAGTAGGGTTCCCTTTTGGCCACATCCCCTCCAGCATCTGTTCTTATTAGATTTCTTTATTATAGCCATTCTAACTGGGGTGAGATGGAATCTCAATGTTGTTTTTATTTGCATTTCTTTTATGGCCAGAGAAGTTGAGTATGTCTTCATGTGGCTATTGGTGATCAAGATTATAATAGTTGAAACTGAACATAAAACATGGTACATCTCCTCTTAAGGAGCATCTAGGAATAGCACACAAAATAAGATATACCAAATTTCAGCTTTTTTCTCCCATAAAAAAAGTACTTCTGGGCCTTCCATTGTACTGAGTTCAGAAACAGTTAACTACTTAATAAGAAATGGCCGCTATGAACAAACACCCAAGTGCTTCTAAGTATAGTTGGTGGATTGGAAAATCCCTCAAGAAACTGCAAATGAAAACATGGAGGGAAATTGGGGGGGGGGCAGGAGGAGGATGGGAAGGGGAAACAAAGGAAGAGGCTACAATGCTTGATAAGAAATGTACTCATTATCTTGCCCATATAATTGTAACCCCTCTGTAAAGTATTTTCACAATAAAAAAAGAAAACATGGAGGGAAGAATATATACCCTTGAATGCTAAAGTTGCTAGGATGGGAGACTAGATCAAGCCCTGGAAAGACTACTATTTTATCAGCATATCCCTGAAAACACCTTCTAGAACCACCTCACTCCAAGGGATCACTTTAGAGCTTCCTCCTCAAGTAACTGTGTATCCTTACTTTCCTACACACATCTGTCTTCCAACTTTAATTGGGACAGAGGAGAAAGTGTTTCAACACACTGGAGTCTAAACTGTTTAAGTCAAGTTCTGTTTAACACAATGACAGAAGTCCTAGCAGACAGACACGTTTGCTCTACTTTAGTGCTTTACATAGAAGGGGACAGAGATCTTTTGGGTGAGGGGAAGAAGGAAGGAAGGAAAAAAGGAAGGAAGGAAGGAAAGGAGAGAGGAAGGGAGGGAGGGAGGGAGGGAAAGAACAAACAATAAGACAGCCATTTTAAGTATAAAATATGGTCAACTGTGTGAACTGCCTCATGTGACAATCAGTGGGCTAGTATTTATGGACACAGAGCCAGCATCCAGCTGGCCTGCAGGATCCAAGGTTTTCTAATGCTTACATGCTACAGATGCCCCTAAGGAGGTGTTTCACAAGAATTCATTAGTGAGGGTGCTGGGTTAACAAGGAGGAAGAAGGAGGTTGAATATTATAGAAATACAGTATTTGTAACTACGCAAATGAAACAATGAAACCTGTTGAAATTGTTTTGGGAAAAGAAGGGGAGCCAAGGATAGGGTTAGAGGGGGTGGGGATTGATGGGAGTACCTGGTAAATGTGTGGAAAGGTAACAATGAAATTTTCTCCCCGGTATAACTAATATAAACTAATAAGAAAATAAATAAAAGAAAGATAAGCCAAAAAATAGAAAATACAATCTTTTGCTTTGAAGGAAAAAGACCAGAATGTATACTCGGCTCCCAGACGCTGGGGATATGTCCTCAATCTTGCTGGGTCAGGACCCGTTGATTCAGGAAATTACTTTTACAAATAGATCAGAGTTAACGGAGCTTCCACTCAGGCTTACCTCTTCAACAACAACAATAAAAACAGAAGAAACATTTCCTGGCTTTCTATTTAAGGAGAGCAGCTCAATTTCCATGAAAACAGGGCACCATGATGTTCGATGAAATAATGAAGGACCAATCAAAGCAATTACTGGATATTCCTTGCAATCACCAAACGAAATTTCTAACTCCCCAAAGCAAACCTAACCAAAGGATAAAGAAGTTTAGATACACTCAGCATTGACGAGAAGTCACTATGGAAAACCAATGGGGTTAATGCTGTTTAAATGTGAGATAGGACAATATTTGCAGAGTTCTTCCCCTGCCCAGGGGAAGAGCTTGGGTCTTCTGCCTACAGGGACAAAATATAAGACTGAATGGGCCATATAAATGAGATAATGGTCATTCTGAGCCAGAACAAGGAAAGACAAACAAGATACCCAGAGAGCAAAATGTAAGTAGGCTCTGACTTGCAGGGCTGAGCCACTGCCAGCCCTGAGGTTCTTATATTCGGTTTGCAATTACAAATGCAATCTTATCGCTTGAAAAACACAGCATGAAGCAAGTCCATCTGGAAAATGACGATTAGAAATAACAGGGACCAGGCACCAGTGGCTCAGACCTGTAATCCTAGCTACTCAGGAGATGAGATCTGAGGATCACTGTTTAAAGCCAGCCTGGGCAGGGAACTCTCCAATTAACAACCAGAAAAGCAGAAGTGGTGCTGTGGCTCAAGTAGTAGAGCACTAGCCTTGAGCTGAAGAGCTCAGAGACAGCACCTAGGCCCAGAGTTCAAAACCCATGACCAATAAAAAAAAATCACATAGTACATTAAAAACAATAGCAACGAAGATAAAACCCCATGTATCCCTATCTTGGGGTTCATTTTGCTTAGCACTATCTTATATGGTCATATGTGCATAGCTTTTGACCTTTTCTACTTATCTGGTAAGATTATCCTAGACAACCCATTAGTTAAGGCATCCTTTCTTAAAGAAAGTCAAATGTCTTCCTTTAAGTCACACAGACCAAAGGGCATCCTAGGCTGACTGCCTTAAGCCTGGTCCAGACACTGTGGGAGGAAGCATGGAACCACCCTGATTGCCTGGACCCTTGCAAGACTCATTGCTAGCAGCAAGAATATTATCTTCTTTCCTATGTTCTCCCCCCATGGTATAACCCCTGTTTTCACTGTATTTAATTCTGGTACCCCACATCTTATATATACATTTGGAAGGGAAATAACAAAAAGCTGAAACAAGGATACAGGTTGACCCATTGTAACAATGAGATGTACAAGACACTATGTTAAAAACGAACTTTACAACTTGGGGGTGGAGGAAGGAGGGAGGAGTTGGGGAGGCAGGGAGGGAAGGGATGGTTAGGGAAAAACAAAGGAGGGGGTAACAATGCTTGAGAGGAAATGTACTCATTACCTTACTCAGGTAACTGTAACCCCACAGTATAGTATCTTTACAATAAAAAATATACATTTGAAAAAAACAAAAAAGAATCTACAGCTAAGTGAAAAAGAAATAACAGGGGTGAGGGATAAGGGGTCTTTGGGGCCAAAGATTCCAAGCCAACTATAAGGTTATGGGACAAAATCATAAACAGAAAAAAAAAACCTATGTGTGTGCAACTGAGCACAAGAATAATATAAAAGTAAAAGCAAATATCTGTGGAGTATCTGCTATGTGCCAGCTGCTCTCAATGCATAAGTTTATTTATTCTTGAAAACAACCTTTGGACATAGGTAATGCTATTAATCTTGTTACTATTACTACAGAGATAAGAAAACTGAAACAAATTTAAAATGCCCCACATCTGATATGAGAACTAGCACCCGGCACCTTTGGCTTGTGCTACATACTGAGATGTGTTTTCAAATCAATAGTCTCACACACAGATGTCATTTTCCAGGAAAACAGAAAGCGATAAAATAATCAATCCTAACAGGTATTCGTAGCAAAAAACTACTTCAAACACAACCCTTTGCGCATTGCACCCAGACACCTTCTTCTCTTGCCTGTAATTCACAGCCTCATGACAATTTGGAGCATACATTGTCATCCTCTTAGGAGGATAAGGAAATGGAAGTACTATAATGTGGCTTCTGTGAGAGGCAGAGAAAGAATGGAAGCCTAGCTCTCTGAAAGCAAGCAAATCACTGGTCATCCTAGAAAGGCTTTCATAAACCCATCACCCTACTTGTTAGGAAATGGAAAGACATTGAAAAAATTATATTAAGTGAAGTAAGCCAGGCCCAAAGAAACATAGGTCCCATGGCTTCCCTTATTTGCAATAACTAGTATATGTCTGAGTCAAGCAGAAAAGATCAAAAGGTATGTGCATATGACCTTGTAAGATGATGTTAAGTGAAATGAACCCCAAGACAGGGACATAGTGGTTTTTTCTTTCTTGCTATTGTTTTTAACATACTTATAATGTACTATGTGATTTCTTGTTTCTTTTGTATGTTCTTCCCCCATGGTATAACCCCTGCTTTCACTGTATTTGATTTTGGTGCACTGCATCTTGTATATATATTTTTCTAATTTGAGGAGAAGAAGGGAAAAAACAAAACGCTTAAATAGGGATACAAATTGGCCCATTGTAACAATGACATGTACAAGACACTATATTGAAAATGAACTTTACAACTTGTGGGGGTGGGGAGGGAGAAGTTGGGGAGGGGGGGAGGGAAGGGATGGTAGGGAAGGGAAAAACAAAGGAAGAGGTAACAATGCTCAATGGGAAATGTACTCATTACCTTACTCATGTAACTGTAACCCCTCTGTACAGTATTTTTACAATAAATGACTTATTTAAAGATAGATAGATAGACAGACAGACAGACAGATAGATAGGCCAAGCGACTGACCTCCACATGCCTGTGAAGCTGAACATAGTGCTCACGCAGCGAGGGAGAGGAGGTGGCTTGATTCCATCCAGACGCATGAGCAGAGCTGGGATGCCAAAGAGGACTAGGTACTTCACATAGAAGAAGAGCACTTGAGCCAGTGCCAGTCCTCCTGAAAGGCAAAGGGACCCATCAGACACACAGACAAGAGGACGATCCGTCTTCAACAGCCCAGAAGCCCTTGTTCCAATCCTCAAACCTCTCTCCCATTTGCTGGTAATTTTCTCTTTTTTTTGGACTGTGAGCCTTTCTAAGGAATTCCACCATTTTAGTTCTCCCTTGAATCTACCATGTTTTAGTTAATACGCTTATGGGTTAACTAAAAATATCCCGTGTCTACTTCTTTCTTTCTTAATTAATTCTAGATTCCACATATGAGAGAAAGCATACTTCCTCTATCACTGGGCCTGACTTACTTCACTTAACATGATTTTTTTCCCAGTTCCTTCCATTTCTTTGCAAATGATGCTTCTATTTTTGACACTAAATATTGCTCAGTTGTCATGTCTGAAGCGCAAATATTAAAATCAAAAAAGGCTGAGTCTACATGCTTGTGAGTCATTTGTCCAGAATCTTCATCCTTGTATTAAATGATACATGAGCTGGGCTAAAAGAAATTATTTTCTTTAAGAGTTAATGCATACTCTATGGCTAAATCTAATTGAAAGTAATGAAGAGATCTTTTACTCCAATATAGATGGAGAATATAAGAAGGCATACATATGCAAAATATCCAACCAACGCTCTATATACGTGTTACTGAATATTTCCTTTTTATTATCTCTAAGTAGTTGTACACAGGAGTTGCCATTTACAAAGCAGTTTACAAACAATGCATCTTGATCGCTGTCACACATCCCTCCCAGCCATCCCTTCCCTTACATTCTTAATTTTGTAGGATATGCAATGAATTCTTTTTTTTTGGGGGGGGGGTCCAGTTGTGGGGCCTAAACTCTGGGCCTGGGCACTGTCCCTCAGCTCTTCAGCTCAAGGCTAGCGCTCTACCACTTGAGCCATAGCACCACTTCCTGCTTTTTTCTTTTTGCTTATGTGGTGCTGAGGAATCAAACCCAGGGCCTCAGGCATGCAAGGCAAGCGCTCTACCACTGAGCCACCTTCCCAGCCCCTGCAATGAATTCTTGACTGCATTCTCCCCCCCACCTCTTCATTCATCTAACCCTCTCCCCTTGAAATACAGAAGGTTGAAATTGATTTTTCCTTGAAATTGTAATAACTGCTCCACAAACATAGAGGAAAAATTAGCTGATTTTTGTGCCAACACTGGAGCTTGAACTAAAGGCCTGGGTACTGTCCCTTATCTTTGGCATTCTACTAGTTGAGCCACACCTCCACTTCAGGCTTTTGGTCAATTAATTGCAAGATAAGAGTCTCACAGACTCGAATGGTTTTGAACCACAATCCTCAGATCTCAGGCTCCTAAATAGCCAAAATTACAGTCGAGAGCCACCAGCACCCAGCTTGCATAATGATATTTAAATTGTAAGTTTTCTATGTTAATTTTTCTCCCTTGGGTTGGCATCTGAGGGATTAACTGCTATACTGCTTTGCTACTGATTGTTATCATCCCAGGAAAGATACACATCTAGTTCTTCTTTCCCCCTCGACCTAAACAGCGCCTCTCTCTGTAAGATTTAGTCTAAGGTTGCAAAGTTGACCCTACAAATTTTGCTACAGCCTCTCAGGCATACAACTGACAAGAAAATAGCATCAGAATATAAATGACTCTACCCTGATTGAAAGTTATTTGATATAAATAAACTGAACAAGCTCTTGTCAGGTTCAAAAATACAAAATCTGATTATGAGGGACAAAGAGTGAACAAATGCAACAAAGTACAATGATGAAAATAAACTATACAACTTGTGAGTGGGGATGGGAGGGAAAAACTGGGGGAGAGAAAAAGAATTAAGCCCTCTGTATATCACCTTTATAATAACAATTAATAAAAGTTAAAAACAAGTTTAAAAATCTAATTATACTTCATTACTTTAAAAAATTGCTAGCCGGGCACCGGTGGCTCACGCCTGTAATCCTAGCTACTCAGGAGGCTGAGATCTGAGGATTGTAATTCAAAGCCAGCTGGGGCAGGAAAGTCCGTGAGACTCTGATCTCCAATTAATGACCAGAAAACCAGAACTGGTGCTGTGGCTCAAGTGGTAGAGCACTTGCCTTGAGCTGAAGAGCTGAGGGACAGTGCCCAGGCCCAGAGTTCAAAACCCATGACTGACAAAAAAAAAATTTTTTTTTGCTGAGTTTTTATCTAAAATATTATTTCTCAAGCAGCAAGAATTACACTCAAGCCTATCTATCCTAGCCCCTTTCCCTCCCCAAATCCACATAGGTTCACATACTTGACATTCATTCATTCAACAAGCATGCACTAAACTGAGATAACTAGCTATAGTCTAGCAAATAGACTTGACAGCAAGGGACCAGGTAACATTGACCAAGAAGAAATGTACTTGACTTATGTAACTGTAACCCCTTTGTACATCACCTTTATAAAAACAGTTAAAAAGTTATGTAAAAAAATAAAGAAATAGGGGCTGGGAAGGCAGCTCAGTGGTAGAGTGCTTGCCTTGTATGCATAAGGCCCTAGATTTGATTCCTCAGCACCACATAAGCAGAAAAAGCTGGAAGTGGTGCAATGGTTCAAGTGGTAGAGCGCTAGCCTTGAGCTGAAGAACTGAGGGACAGCGCCCAGACCCAGAGTTCAGGCCCCACGACTGACTAAATAAATAAAACTAAAAATAAAGAAATAGACGAGTTCAGATCAAATGGGACACCATGTACCCTAAGGGTTTCTGATCAATTCCATTCTGGTTTCATTTATTCTATTCTTTTGCCATGTAGTTTGTTAATTCAGACTTTGTGTCCAGCTCCTCCTTTTCTTAGCAAAATCTTATTTACCCTTCAGATTCCAGTTCAAATGTGGCCTTGTCTTATTCATTCAATATTTTTATCGAGCATGGCCCCTTCCCATAGAACATTAGAGTGAAAAGAGAAGGAAAATCTAAGTGGGATTAACCCTCACACCATGGGAACAAGAAACAACATGAACAGATTCTCAGACATTTACCAATTACGCATGCTGTAGTTTCACAGGCATGGCTCTAGGTGCTTACCATACATTCATAGATACTGGTGCTGTCATGTGGATTGCATCTAGCAAAAGTCACTTTTCCTTTTCCAGTCCTCTATCTCAGTTGGCTGTGTCTGAATAATTGTCAGAGTTGAGGAAACTCAGAAATGCTGGGATGGGCAGGCCACTAGTGGCTTACACTTGTAATCTTAGCTGCCCAAGAAGCTGAGACCTGAACAATCACAGCTTGAAGCCAGCTCTTGCAGAAAATCCACAAAACACTATCTCAATTAGCCTGGAAAATGGTGGACTGGAGGTATGGTTCAAATGGTACAGTGCCAGCTCTAAGCAAGAAAGCCAGGTACTGGCAACAAAATTAATTAATTAATTAAAGTACTGAATGTCAAATACTAGTGTATTTTAAAATAGGAGTTAGGGCAGACTTCCCTAAGATGAAGATATTTCAGCAAAAGCTTGAAGGAACAAAAATGTTAGCTGTGCAATCACCTGCTGCCTCTTAAAACTGAATAGAATTTATTCTTTAGGACCTGTTCCATGGCTTTTACTTCAGATGATGGTTCTACACATGTATGGTTATCCTACTAGACCAAGAGCCCTGAAGATTTTTGGGGGGTTATTTCTTATATCTCAGAAGCTAACATCTGACATGTAGCTGATGCCTGATCAATGCTTACTTGAAAAGTAACTGAATGAACAACAGTATGGAGATCCAGTATCACAGTGTCTCTGGAAAGTGCAGTAATGGTCTATTGTCAGCTCAGAGAATCCAATCACTAATGAAACTCAGGCTACCAAATAAGAGTCTTCTGTGGGCTCGGGACCTTGTATTCGAGGGGGGTGAGGGTGAATCAAGAGAAATAGCATTTGCTATTGCCTTGAAGTTACTAAATATAGGTTGAACTCAGTCAACCCATAAACCACCTCCAATTCTTAGTTCTTCAAACTCAACTTGTCCAAAACAGAATATAGCTTGCTCCTTCCAAAACTAGAAACAGAACAGATTTTCAAGACAGAAAGAGATGAATGTTAAGTTCTATAGAAGCCTAGGAAGATAAGGAAGGGGGGAAAAAGGCCTTAACTGCCTTTCTGGAGCTCAATTCTTCCCAGATAAACACACCCAGGGTGCTCAGTCTACCCACCCATGAACTCTCATTCTCTCTCACACACGCTTGCTCTCATTCTTCTTTGTGTGTGTATATATGAATATGAAATTATATAAGATATTCCTTTGATATATTAGACAAGAGAAGAGCTAAGTAATCCAATATAACACTGCAATATAACAAAAAAAAATCACCACTTCAACACAAGGCAAGATTTAAATGCAACCTACACAAGAGCATGTGTCATATAAAACAGAGTGAGATTGCTCCTGTCCTACCATATTGAAATACTGGTGGACCCAATAGTTTTTATCAAAATGAATCATTTCAAAAAAAATAAGCAAAAGACAAACTTGCCTTGGTAACCATATATCCAAATCAAACTGAACTACTTAAATAATTTGATTTGTTTCCCACTCATAAACCTTCATTTCATTCACACTGGAGTAGTAAATTTTCTATATTTATCTACCTTGCTTAATAATTCAAAGGAAAAACTCAAAACAATTAAGAAGGGAACACCATATTAATCTGTTTTTAGAACTTCCAAAGTTTGAAAAGTGGTTGCAAGTTTGTAATTCTAGGTAGGGACACATTATCTGAAGAAAAACCCTAATGGCAAACCTCTGAAGAACAGGTTCAGCAAAAAGCAAGTACTTTGTGAATTGACAGGCCTTCCTTGCACAGAGACCACGCTAAGCTCCTCCACTGCACTCTGGTTTAGTTACATGTGCTACAAAAAACCATTTATCTCTCTTTTAATATTATCCCATTACAGTTTTAATTGACATAAAGCAGTTGGAGATTGGCTTCTATTGACTTATCATTTTCTTCTCAGCTTTGGTTCTGGGATAAGTGGCTAGAGATTTCCACTAAGAGGTGAAG